TATATATATAATATACTTTATATATATAATATACTTTATATATATATATGTTTCATTTTATTTCAGTCAACATTTATTTTATAAAATGTCTATATGGTGTTTATTTCCATTTTGGTTATTTTATTACTTAAACTAAGCAAAAAATGAGAACTGTTGCCTTTTACAAGTTTAGTGTTTAATATTTCATATCAACATTTGCGTCAACAAATTTCAGTCAGCATTTTTATTTTAAAATGTCAATATAGTTTTTTTTTTGTCATTTTCCCCCATTTTCCTTTATTTATTTGTGTTCTAGTTATTTTAGTACTTCAGCTTAAACTAAACAAAACATAAAAATGTTGCCTTTATTAACTTGCTGTTTTAAGTTTTATTTACTTAATTTCAGTCAAAATTTTAAAATGGGTGTAGTTTTTGCTTTTCAAGTTTAATTTAAATGATTATTTACAACATAAACTAAATGGTCAATGTTTATTTTAAAATGTCTATACAGGATTTTTTAATGTTTATTTCAGTTTTATTTTAGTATTTCAGCACAAACTAAAAAATCTTGCCTTTAGCGTTTATCTGAAGTTTAAGTGTTTTATATTTAATTTCATTTCAGTCAAAGCTTATTTTAAAAATGTCTAATAGTTTTTAAAATGAGACATGTTGACTTTAGGAACCAGCTGAAGTTTAAGTATATTTTATTTTATTTTAGTCAGCGTTTATTTTATGTGTTTAGTTCATGATAATATCCCTGTTCAAGGTACTATGTTTCAGTAAGCATTTACCAGGATGTTGGAAATGATTTTCACCTCTTCAAGATTAATTCATACACTCTGTTGTTTCAAACCAGGCCCTGACTGCTGAAATCGTCAAGACTATCCGTGACATTATCGCTCTGAATCCACTGTACAGGTAAGATAGATAAAAGAGGGTGTTCAAAACGGCATTCTAAGCCACTATTCATGAACACGTTTGTTTGCTAGAGAGTCAGTGCTCCAGATGATGCAGGCGGGTCAGAGAGTGGTGGATAATCCCATCTACCTGAGCGACATGGGGGCGGCGCTGACTGGGGCCGAATCGCACGAGCTACAGGAAGTCCTGGAGGAAACAAACGTACGTTTATGACCCCTAAAACAGTTTCTCCGAACGCTAATGAGTATCTAACATGAAAGCCGTCTTTACAGATTCCCAAACGACTCTACAAAGCCCTTTCTCTGCTGAAGAAAGAATACGAGCTGAGTAAACTACAGCAGCGACTCGGCAGGGAGGTGAGGGAACAAACGAGGACGCTTTTTAACATGCTGCTGCTCATTTGTTTGGCTTTCCTTTAGTTTTACACCCGTTCGTCTCGATGCTCAGGTTGAAGAGAAGATCAAGCAGACGCACAGGAAGTACCTCCTTCAGGAGCAGCTGAAGATCATTAAGAAGGAGCTCGGCCTGGAGAAGGAGGACAAAGACGCCATCGAGGAGAAGTTCAGGGAGAGGCTGAAGGATCGGACCATGCCTCAGCACATCATGGACGTTATTAGCGAGGAGCTGAACAAACTGGGGCTGTTAGATAACCACTCCTCAGAGTTCAAGTAAGAGTTCGTCATTGTTAGGAACTAATGTAATCTATGGATTAGGGTTGGGCTGATGGACGATGGCTGATAGCCATCACGATGTTGAGCCGGCATTGTGACCCCTTCCCCCGCATCCCAATACCGTGTTCGGAAAGAAAATGACGTGTATATGGAACCCCTAAAGGGAATAAATACGAGATGGGAGGAAAATATATATTTAAATATTTTCCCTCGCAGTTATATCATTGGGTAATTATACTACATATATTTCGGGCATCAGGGAGCCGCTATTATACCTGGCATTGAAACTGCTTTTGAACGCACGATGGCCTTTTAGTTTCACTTTCACTTTCGAGATTCGCGATCGCACGTAGTCTGTTTATACTATGGAGCAGCAGTACTTACCACACATTTTACAAGATTAGATGTTTGTCAGTGGTGCACATGATCTGCAAATCATTCGCCATCGTCCTCAGTCGTTTCTCCTTACTCTGTTTATGTGGTAAGTGAAATTTTAAGTGCATCAGCACGGTGTTAGGAATCGTTATTTGTTTTCCGTGCCTTATAAGGATTCACGCTTCGGGCACCCCCCCGCCCCCCTACTATGGATAGTATAATGTTTTTTCTTAATGTCCATAAAAATGCTCAAGATGCTAAAAACCATGGGCGACATTTGACTCTTGAGTCAGGGGGGGCAAGAAAAAAAAAAAAAAAAAAAAACACATATATATATATGAAATAAATAAATAAATAAAAACAAAAGATTTTTCTTTTCGGATGTAAGCATCAATACAATGCCCTACCGTGTTGCAACGCATCAAAGCAATTAATCCAACACAGTCAAGAATAACTTAAAGAGGTTGCCACCGTTTACAAAGGCGAGACACATGAGGAAAAATAAACGATCAGTTGTGGGACTAGATTCTGTCATAAATCGCATACCATTCATTGCTGAACTTTCTACCGTCCGTTACTGGAATTGAAATTAAATTACTGGTTGATATGTCCCGATCTCAATAAAGTTTACACACGCTTTTGGTCCGTGAATTAGACCTCGCTCGGGACGCGCGCTGTCTGTGGAGGTTTGGCCAGGACCGGTTCCAGAATTAAATCAACATATTTTATGTTCCGTCCATTGCCAATCACTGCTATTTCGAGAGTGAATCCCGCATAAATATGCGGATGTCATTCCCGAAACTTTGCAGGGTGTAGCCTATGTGTCCAAAAAACAAAAGTTTCATACAAATTCTGAATGGATTATACCCTAGAAAGTGCGCAAAGCGCGCTCCCTTTATCACTAAATAGCATCACTCATCGTCGTTCATCGCGATCTTACAAAGTTCCGTTATAATCAATGAAGCTCTCTAAACTGCACAATGAATCTCTTATTTACATCGCGTCTGCACTTAGTCATGAGATGATTCACGAGTGTGCAAAACTGCACTTAAAAACTGCGGCGCTTTCAGCGGTGAGTGAATTCTGACAAAACGTTTGTGATTGGCCATTGTGTTCAAGAAATCAACAGATATGTCTGTGATTGGCTACATTGCTCAACGCTGCAAAAACACGTTGAGGGTATTTAGTGCTTAGCTAAGCGCTCCAATTGCAGCGGGGCCGACATCATGGATTCCATTACTAACAATTTGGGGGGGCAATTGCCCCCCCCCACACACCTAATGTCGCCCATGCTGAAAACCCAGCTAAAACCAGCTTAAGATGGTTGTACATGGACTTTATCTGGTTATTGGCTGCTTTAGAAGGTTGGACTACAAGCTGGACCTGGTTTTAGCCTGGTAGACCACCTTAGACCATCAACAAGGTTGACAAAACCCAGCTAAAACCAGCATAAGATGGTTGTACATGGATTCTAGCTGGTTTTTAGCTACTTCAAACTGCACTAAATGGTTCATCAATTGGACTACAAGCTGGCTGACCTGGTTTTAGCCTGGTAGACCACCTTAGACCCACAACAAAGTTAATAAAACACTGCAAAAACCAACTTAAGATGGTTGTACATGGATTATAGCTGGTTTTTAGCTGTTCCAAACTGCTCTAGAAGGTTCAGCCATTGGACTACCAGCTGGTGGACCTAGTAGACCACATTAGCTGATCCAAGCTACTCTAGATGATTGATCAGTTGGACTACGAGTTGCTAGATTTGGTTTAAACTTGGTAGACCACCTTAGACTAGCAACAAGGTTGACAAAACCCAGCTAAAACCAGCTTAAGATGGTTGTACATGGATTCTACCTGATTATAAGCTGCATTATATGGCCGATTAGTTGGACTACAAGCTTGTTGACCTGGTTTTAACCTGATTGACCACCTTAGACCAGCAACAAACCATGTTCCACAAAGAAGCTTGATCTCCTCAAGGTGTTATTTTATTAATTCAGACTTTCTTTTTTCCCTCTTAAAATCCCCAGCGTTACCCGTAACTACTTAGACTGGCTGACCTCCATGCCTTGGGGCACCAACAGCAAGGAAAACTTAAAGTTGAGTCAGGCCAAAGAGGTTTTGGAAGAGGACCACTATGGAATGGAGGACGTAAAGAAACGCATTCTGGTAAAACGCAAGCATGAGTGCCTCAACCTTTATCCCCTTGAGAATGGGAAAAATTTGCTTCCTAAATCCTTTTAACCCCAGTCATTGTTCATTCATGCAGGAGTTCATAGCCGTAAGCCAGCTGAGAGGCAGCACACAGGGAAAGATCTTGTGTTTCTATGGGCCTCCTGGAGTTGGAAAGACCAGTATAGCCCGCTCAATCGCCAGAGCACTTAATCGCGAATACTTCCGTTTTAGCATGGGAGGCATGACGGATGTGGCGGAAATTAAAGGCCACAGGTATGTGCAAATGACCATTATGTAGAGTCAATACTTATTTTCAGACTTTGTGTACATTTTTTTGTTTGTACATTGCAGGAGAACATATGTTGGTGCAATGCCAGGAAAAATCATCCAATGTCTAAAGAAAACCAAGACTGAAAACCCATTGGTCCTTATTGACGAGGTATGACATGCAAATCTAATCTTAAAGGGGTCATGAACTGTTTGTTTTTCATTTTGTACTGTTCTTTGAGGTCCACTTATGTTTTCAAGATTTTTACATCAAAAAACATCATAATTCTGTCCTGTTTTTAACCCCCCTCATCAGAACGCTCTGTTTGAATAGGCGTGGCAGATCGTAGCCTCGAAAGTAAATGCCCACTGCTATGATTGGCTAATAGTTGTGTATGTTTGACAGCCTACATCCTTCATAGATGGACGCTGCTGTGATTTAGTTTAAAAACACATAAATACTCAGCACATATCAAACGATCTGTAATAACAAACAAAGCAATAGTGATCATGTAATGAAAACAGTTACTCACACTTGTGTTGCGACATTACTGTCGGATCCAATATAGTCGCACAGCATCGTCTTTTAGTTTCAATCTTTTTGAAAATCCCTTGTCGAATTGTGTCTTGTTTGTAAATGAATCCGCGGTAAAATGAAGTGAACAAAGGACCAAGTTCTTACTGACGCGATCTGGATCTTCATTATAAATAAAGTTCATCCACTCTTTCAGACCCCAGGTGGTTAGAATTGGCAACCACACATCCTCCTCACTCACACTCAGCATAATAAATGCCTCTTGACTCTTGACTCTTTCCTAATGTTGGGATCAGAAGGAAGGCAACGCAAACACTGTTTTTCCACAGCTTGGCACTGCGCAGCATCTTGTTGTATTCGGACCATCTTTATCGTTAGATTTCTGCGTAGACCTGTGTTCACCTCTCGTTATTTACACGACAGTGATGTAAAATCAGTGGGCGGGGCTAAACAGACAGTGATGTAAAATCATTGGGTGGGGCTAAACAGGCAAAGCTGTAGAATCAGTGGGTGGGGCTAAACAGAGTGATGTAAAATCATTGGGCGGGGCTAAACAGCCAACGATGTAGAATCGGTGGGTGGGGCTAAACAGACAGTGATGTAGAATCGGTGGGCAGGGCTAAACAGGCAGTGATGTAGAAGCAGGCAGTGCTTATCCACACTATTACATCATAGAGTAGAACATTCCACAAGCTGTCGTTTTGGCAGACTGCCATATAATACAATGACCTCTTATATATCAAAAGATCAAGGGAATTTTGGTTTCATGTTCATGACCCCTTTAACCCTACCCTATATTAACACTTTGGTTCTTATGTCAGAACGACTGATACTCTATTAATCTTTTTGTTGTGCAGGTTGACAAAATAGGTCGAGGTTACCAGGGTGACCCATCTTCTGCACTACTTGAGCTTTTAGATCCAGAACAGAACGCTAACTTTCTTGACCACTACCTGGATGTGCCCGTGGACCTTTCTAAGGTATAAACTAGCGAAAATCCACATCTGTTGGAAGGAGACTCTGGTTTCATTGTGCCTTCATTGGTGTTTTTATCAGGTGCTTTTCATTTGTACGGCCAATGTTCTCGATACCATTCCTGAACCCTTAAGAGACCGAATGGAAATGATCAACGTATCAGGTTACGTTGCTCAGGAGAAATTGGCCATTGCGGAGGTACGTTTACTTGGTGATCTCTTTTCATGAATCTCAACAACACATTTTTGGGTTAACATTACAGTTTGGATATGTTGTAGTCACTAGTCTGTAAAACTTTAACCGGAATGTTGCTGTTTCAAGACTGGTAGTTAGCGAGCATGAATCTTGAGCTAGTCAATTAACTCCCTTAAGCTGCGATTAAGGGCAATTGTCCCTGTAAGTCGCTTCCAAAGTCTCACTGTTTCACTGCTTGAATTGAAGTTGGCATCAGAGTTCGACTTAGTCCTTTTTGGGTCAGCTTGACACTTTGGGTCTGGCGTAGTCTATAAACTTCAGAACTGGCAACCGGAAGGTTGCTAGTTCAAGACCGATAGTTAAAAAGCTATGAGCCATGACCCTTAAACACCAAGTTGCTTCAGGGGGATTGTCCCTCTAACTGGAAGTCACTTCCGAAGAATCAGTTTGATTTGATGCATTGATGGTGGCACAACAGTTAGACTTTACTCAGTCCTTTTCCTGGTCTTTATAACCACCATAGAGATACTTGGTACCCCAGTTGCGAACTCTATGTGGTTTGGATGAACAGAAGGCAAAAATCACCCCCGAGGCTCTGAGCGTCCTCATCAGACAGTACTGCCGGGAGAGCGGTGTCAGGAACCTTCAGAAGCAAGTCGAGAAGGTTTGACTAACTTCTTACCCATCTTAGGGCTCTATGAAATCCATTTTCATTTTTCCCAAATTCCGCTTAATTTTTTCAAAATTCCATTTAAATTTGTCTGTTGTAATGGTTAAATTAAATTGTATTAATCAAAATGCTATGATTTTAAATGCAATGTCTAATTAATTGATATCATGACAAGTACACAATTTAACAGCAATTTATTACATTTTTAATGAAAATTACATTTTTAAAGGGTTAGTTCACCCAAAAAATGAAAATTCTGTCATTAATTACTCACCCTCATGTCGTTTCAAACCCGTAAGACCTTCGTTCATCTTCGGAACACAAATTAAGATATTTTTGATGGAATCTGAGAGCTCTCTGACCCTCCATAGACAGCAATGTAACTGAAATGTTCCCAAGTCCAGAAACGTAACAAGGAGATCTCTCAGATTCCATCAAAAATATCTTAATTTGTGTTCCGAAGATGAATGAAGGTCTTACGGGCTTGAAACGACATGAGGGTGAGTAATTAATTACTGAATTTTCATTTTTGGGTGAACTAAGCCTTTAAGGCCCAATGAAATGTTTATTTTTTTCTTAAATTCTGTTTTTTTTTTTTTACAGATTCTATATTCCATTAGATTTCTGTATTCCATTTGAATGGTTTCAATCAATTTGAATAACCAAAAGCGCACCTAAATAATTGATTTTATTAAAACTACTTTATTATTTTATTTATTTATTTTAGAAATACTGTGTTGTGTGTTTACATTTTTCTAGTAAATAATTTTTCTGGTAAGTATTCCTTGAAAATAATGTTTTAATAATAATTGTATTAGTAGTAGTAGTACTGTCACTACATTAAGTAATATATTTCTGTCACATTTTCTTCAAGTTAAACCAAACATTTATTTTGACGGGTTGCTGTGAAAACCTTTAGGTTTCTGTTTGTATTTGATATGACGATAGTTCTACTCAAAATAAACGTTAAAATGCTCATGAAGTGACTCTCAGAGCAGTTCTTGAGATTGTTTATGTGTTCATGTACTCATATATTGAGGCGGCAGAGGCTGAAAACAGCGAGCGTCACACGCATTTCAGTATGTGTGTAGTAAACAAAACCACGCGTCTGCGCTATTCACTCCCACACACAGAATTCATATTTAAATGTGGCTTAATATTCACATATACTAGTCCATATCACGTTTTGATTTAAGTGTACTGACCTACTTTTGATTTATTCATCCAAATTTGGCAAATTCCGTGATATTCCACATTATATAGTAAATTTTGTTTTTATGTCCGGATTCCACGATTCCGTCCGCATTTTTCGCATCGTGGAAATCATAGGGACCTACTGTCTTTATGAGTATTCTGCAAGTGTAGCTAAGTTGGGTGCCTTTGCAGGTGTTCCGGAAAGTAGCGTTCCGGATTGTCAACGGCGAGGAAACAGAGGTCAACGTCACCCAGGAGAACCTTCAGGATTACGTCGGGAAGCCCATCTTCACTGTGGACCGAATGTATGACGTCACACCGCCGGGAGTTGTCATGGGACTGGCATGGACAGCAATGGGTAAGGGTTCAACCAAGAACGTTCAAGCCAAAAATTGGTACACTAGTTTCCAGTAGGGGTGTGCGATATTGACAAATAAATTATATCTCGATATTTTTGGGAATTTGATCAGTAATGACAATTAGACGATATTTTGCTCAGTGTGTTATTGTGCTGGTACCTTAAAGACTACCGACTACTGATTTAAAGTTTTTGATATTTTTCATATTCTGTGTGGTGGTCAAATTTGAGTCAAATTCTTACATTGAATCAATCAGTTAGAATAATACGACATCTGGGTCATTACTAAGCAAATGAAAATTCGTCTTTGCAATGCAGAGGAAACATAAATGCCACTTCAAATGCAGTTTGTGTGTCTACACACTTTATTGCAGCTCAGTTACAAATACATAAATATTTTAACATTTTAAACATAAAGATACTTTTAATGTGAAATTAAAACCGTCAGTAGGTGGCAGCAAGTCATTGTTAATAAGTGAGTAATTGCGATTGAACCGAATCATTTAAACGGTTGATTCATTCAGGAACGAAACACCGTCATGTTGCTCAGAGACACAAAACAGTGCTGTGGCTGTGTTTGGAGTTATTTTAGTTGGCGAAATAGAGCAAAAACAGGCAATACGGTGTCTAAAATGTAAGTCTCTTAAAATTAACTTTTTGTTTATTTTATTCAAAGACGTTTTAATAGACTGAATCATGCAGTGAAAGAACGCACTCTAAATGCGCATACGCACTAGTCTAACCTTCTAGATCAAGTAACTTATGCATAGGTGTGTTTTGTTTGGTTTTTGCAATATACTTGATAATGTCAAATCGCACGTGCTAAAACCACAATTACGATGTTATCGCAGATGGTATATATCGCACGCCCCTAGTTTCCAGCGAACTTTCGTAATGCTTAGTCGCACCAGACTTGGTGGAAACACTCCTAAAGATGTTTAGTCCACAAAACCTTAAAGGAACAACTCTACTCTCCTCCACAGGTGGCTCGACACTCTTCATCGAGACATCTCTGAGGCGACCGAGAGAACCTCAAGGGAAAAATGGAGCCAAAGAGGGATCACTGGAGGTCACGGGGCAGCTGGGAGACGTGATGAAGGAAAGCGCCAAGATTGCGTACACGTTTGCGCGCTCATTCCTCATGAAGGAGCAACCTGACAACGATTTCCTCGTGGGCTCCCACATACACCTCCATGTGCCTGAGGTGAAGATTGCAGTTGTCCAGAGTTGTCCAATTCTGCTTCAGGAGGGCCATCTTCTTGCAGAGTTTGGCTCAAACACATGTGCCTAGCAATCCTGAAGTCTTTAAGTGCCTAGGTGTGTTAAGGAAAGGTGGGCCTCTAAGAGCACGATTGGACAACGGTGATTGGAATAGAGAGTTCAAGTAGGTGTTAAATAGCCATGCTTGAGGTGAAGATTACACTTGTCCAGAGTTGTCCAATTCTGCTCCTGGAGGGCCACCCTTCAGCCGAGTTTGGCTTCTACCTGCTCCAACACACATCCCTGGAAGTTTCTAGTAATCCTGAAGACTTTGGTTGCCTTGTTCAGGTGTGTTGGAGGAAGGTGTCCCTCCAGGAGCGCAATATGACAACCCTGAGGTAGAAGGGTCAGTTAGTTTCTTGTAATAACTAAAGCTGGGAATCTGTTTAGGGTGCAACTCCCAAAGACGGGCCGAGTGCCGGATGCACTATTGTGACTGCTTTGCAGTCCTTGGCCACTAACAAACAAGCGCGCCAGAACGTGGCCATGACGGGGGAAGTGTCCCTGACCGGGAAGATCCTGCCTGTTGGAGGAATCAAGGAAAAGACCATCGCTGTAAGCTAGCAGAGAGGTAGGCCACACTTTCACTTCCAAACAAATGTGTTGCTGCACGTTTCATTTTGTTCTTTTAAAATACGATTGTTTCATTGGGCTAAACATGTTGGCTAGTATAATTTTGCCCCATTTCAACTATTATCTATTGAGTTTTTCTTTACATGTACACTACCAGTCAAAAGTTTTTGAACAGTAAGATTTTTAATGTTTTATAAAGAAGTCTCTTCTGCTCACCAAGCCTGCATTTATTTGATCCAAAAGCAGTAAATTTCTGAAATGTTTTTACTATTTAAAAGAACTGCTTTCTATGTGAATATATTGTCAAATGTAATTTATTTCCATAATGCTAAAGCTGAATTGTCAGCATCATTATTCCAGTCTTCAGTGTCACATGATCTTCAGAAATCATTCTAATATGCTGATTTGCTGCTGAAGAAACATTTTTTATTATTATTATCAATATTTAAAACAGTTGAGTATATTTTTCAGGATTCTTTGATGAATAGAAGGATCCAAAGATCAGCATTTATCTGAAATAAAAAGCTTTTGTAACATTATACACTCTACCATTCAAAAGCTTGGGTCAGTGTGTATATTATATATATATCTATATAATTTTTTTTTTGTTGTTGAAAAATGATAGAAATGAATACTTTTATTTAGAAAGGATGCTTCAAATTGATCAAAAGTGATGATAAAGACGTTTATAATGTTAAAAAAGTTTTCTATTTCTAGAAGAAATTGAACTTTCTGTTCAAAGAAACCTGAAAAAAATCTACTCTGCTGTTTCCAACATAATTAATAATAATAATAAATTATTTCTTGATCAGCAAATCAGCATATTAGAATGATTTCTGAAGATCATGTGACACTGAAGACTGGAGTAATGATGCTGAAAATTCAGCTTTGATCACAGGAATAAATTACATTTTACAATATATTCAGATAGAAAGCAGTTACTTTAAATAATAAAAACATTTCAGAATTTGACTGCTTCTGCTGTATTTTGGATCAAATAAATGCAGGCTTGGTGAGCAGAAGAGAATTATTTAAAAAACTTAAAAAATCTTACTGTTCAAAAACTTGACTGGCAGTGTATATGAATTAAATGTATATTTGTATGGTTAGTAGTCTAAGAATGTATGTGAATGACAATAGGTGTATATAAATGTGTATATGTTTTTCATATATATATGCTAACATGTTTGAATTCCTCCGGCAGGCGAAGAGAGCTGGTGTAACCTGCATCATCCTGCCTGCAGAAAACAGAAAGGACTTTTCAGACCTGTCCGAGTACATCACCGAAGGGCTGGAAGTGCATTTCGTGGAAAACTACAGCGAGATCTACAAAATCGTGTTCTCTGGACAATAATGCGTAGTGCTGTTTTATCTTTCGGTACGCCGCAATTCTGAGTCCTCCGCGTCAGGAAATCACGAGCACACAGAACCAGGTTAATCCCTTCTGTCCTTGTGAGTTTGTATCCCACAGAAGTAGCACGTAAAATGCCACGCGTCGTTGCTTCTCGATTCGTGGGACGTGGATCAGAAAGTCGTCAAGATTCCTGAAACCTTTGCGACTCTGGGATCCCGAGATTGCTGCTACGCAGCCTCCAGTGAAGGTTTTATATTCACATCATGTTTCGTTTCATCTCTAGTGTCATATTTGTAAATAACTGCCTCAATTGTATTCTCTCAAATCAATTACAATAAATAAATATATATATATTATGGAACCGCTTGAGTGGATGTTTACTCAGCAGAAATATTTATGATCTGAATAGGATGGTTAATTTACATATCAAAAAATAAAATCATTAGATAAAAAAAAGGTCGATTTTTAAAAAAAATAGGTATATAAACATTACTAAATTTATGTGACCCTGGAGCACAAAAGCAGTCTTAAGTCGCTGGGGGATATTTGTAGCAATAGCCAACAATACATTGTATGGGTCAAAATTATACATTTTTCTTTTATGCCAAAAATCAATAGGACATTAAGTAAAGATCATGTTCCATGAAGATATTTTGTAAATTTCCTACTGTAAATATATCAAAACTTAATTTTTGATTAGTAATATGCATTGCTAAGAACTTAATTTGGACAACTTTAAAGATGATTTTCTCAATATTTAGATTTTTTTGCACCCTCAGATTCCAGATTTTCAAATAGTTGTATCTCAGACAAATATTGTCACATCCTAACAAACCATACATCAATGGAAAGCTTATTTATTCACTTATATATTATTATGTATAAATCTCAATTTCAAAACGTTGACCCTTATGACTGGTTTTGTGGTCCAGGGTCACAAATAACATTATTGCAACTATTTTTTTTTCTTGCGAATGCAAGTTTACATATCACAATGCCGACGTTTCTTCTCAGAATTGTCAGTTTATACACAATTTTGCATTTGCATTTAGCTGTTTTGACGTATTAAAAAGTCCGAATTTTGAAATATAAACTCAGAAATTGAGAAAAAAACAGTCGCAATTACATTTTTGTAAAATCCCATGGCGGAAATAACCTTGTATAGTTTTTCCCACCGATCTATAATCATTTTACCCCAGGTTTAACAGACAATGCTTGAACTGAAAGAAACTTGCACTGATTGACCTTAAAACATATCATTGCATTTGTTTTTTCTCAAGATGCGCACCAGCAATGTTTTTTCTAAGGAACATTTATAAAAAAAATTACTTAAATGTCCTAATTGAACTATGGCCTAATCCTGGCTTAGTCTAAGCTTTGTCTGTTAAACCAGGCGTGTATTCCAGAAAGCACGGTTAATTTACCGTCAGCTAAACCCTGAACTTTCGGTTGAGGGGTCATATGATGCTGCTAAAAAGAACATTATTTTGTGCATTTGGTGTAATGAAATGTGTTTATGCGGTTTAAGGTTCAAAAAACACATTATTTTCCACATACTGTACATTATTGTTTCTCCTCTATGCCCCGCCTTTCTGAAACGCGTCGATTTTTACAAAACTCATCGGTCTGAAAAAGCAAGGTGTGCTGTGATTGGCCAGCTATCCAGTGCGTTGTGATTGGCCGAATACCTCAAGCGAGTGACGGAAATGTTACGCCCCTCACCATACTGTGATGATGCCCTGTCAGGCCGGAGCGACGAGACAAAACCAATAAAACCCATTATAAACGAGGCATTTGTTGCATCCAGTGGGGACATAATTACTGATTATAATGACTTATACTGTCTTTTTACGCGTTGCGT